GCAAATGGAACCTGTATTTGAGAAAAGATATTGCTGCTTGGAAAATGAATTAGCTGAGAAATCCTGCTGCTTGACTAGCAGGCATGGCACAGAGCTGCTGTTTGCTTACCGTGCCAAAAGTAGAACTAGTCCTGCTATCTCTCTCTTTTATTCGTCTGCATTTTTCTGCTCTCACTGCCACATCTGTTCCAGTCAGAACTTCTATTCACGCCATTAATTTCCCTCTTGCCTCGCGCAATAATAAGAGGGAAAAAAAAGTCCTGCTGTTATTCAGTAAACATACAGAACAAGCTGTCCTGAGTTAATGTAGCCTAACTTTTCCCGCCTCTTAAAAGCAGATGTGCAAAGAGCTCAGGAACACTCAGCTATTGAAGTAGGGTTAAACCTCGGCTCTTTCTCAGACGGGACAGTTTGACAGAACGCGAGTAGAGAGTCGGCGGCTCCATTCTGTGATTCATCCAAACCCTCATTACAAGGACAGGGCAATTAACGCCCGAGCCTCGATGTTCAACACCACAGCCAAAATCCTCTCACTCACTGGACTGTGAAATGTTATCACACTAAGACCACAAATCAGGGCTGCAATAGAGAAGGACACACAATAAGTAATATGCGTGTAACAGAATGCTGCACACTAATACTGATGCAAAGGCAAGGGATTCAGGTTAAAGGACTTTGATGAGCTTTTGATTCTACATCAGGAGATAAGATGAGTTGTGCTTTTTAAATGTGGATTTAAGGGACTAAGTGTTCCTGACTGTCCCTGACCAAGTAGAAAATGACCTGGCTGACAGACCCCCCCCCCCCCACCACAGTCCACATTTTCAACATTTAAAGAGCTTAGCAATAGCGTTATTTATCAGAAATCTCTTTGCACTAGGAAGAAAAACAAAATGACCACTACTTACATTTTTACAAGCTATGATGGAGTCTGGTGAAGTGTTCATATGTAACACTGTATTAACTAAGTTGCATTTGACAACAGATGGAAGGACTTTTCAGCTCATTTGGCTCATGTTTTAATGGCTATTCTCGCAATAAACCGATATTCCCTGAGGACATTTTGACATGTCATGACGTAAAAATATGTCACAATTCGAGGGCAAATGTTAATCTTGTGCATGCTGGTTCACTGGGACAGTTCAATGGTGCATCAATAATGTGATTAGTTACACCTCTACTGTTCCTGCCATGACAATTCAAAATTCTGCACCAAATAAGGTTAATTATAAATCAGAATTTAAACGTCATGTCAATATCCTGCTTAAAAAACTGAGGGTTAGGCTAGGTTTCTTCTACAGGAACAAGTCCTGTTTCTCGCTCAAGGCCAGAAAAAGGCTAGTCACTGTGACCTTTTTACCTGTGCTGGACTATGGTGATCTGATTTATATGAATGCACCTGCCAATTGCCTGGTCAAGTTAGATGCTGCATATCACAGTGCACTGAGATGTGTGACAAACTGTAAAGCATTAACTCATCACTGTACCCTGTATGCAAGGGCTGGTTTGCCTTCGCTAACTGTACGGAGGCTCAGTCACTGGTACATTTTTATATACAAAGCCATGTTAGGGAAACTTCCATCCTACATCTGCTCCCTGATCTCACGGCGAATTGTAAGTGGCTACTGCCTGAGATCGCATGCTGTGGTTTTATTAAATGTGCCAACTGCTAGGACTGTCTTAGGGAAAATAGCATTTAGATGCGCAGCTCCACTGTCCTGGAATAGTCTGCAATTAAAATGGAAACTGAGCAATCTGTTGCCACTAAATGTTTTTAAAGCTCGGTTAGATGCTACTGAATCGGAAGCTGTTGGTACCTGTGCATGTGGATAGTATGTAATTTGTAATCCCTGTAATGCTACTGTATGATGTCCTTTTGTTGTTCTGTTTATGTTTTTAATGTTTCATGTGGAACCTACTTGAGCAGGTCTCCCTTGAAAAAGAGGTCAATGATCTCAATGGGATACAACCTGAATAAATAAAGGTTTGAAATGAAATGAAATGAGAATTCACTATTTGATTTGAGTATTAGTCAAGCACACACATTTTGGCACGTTGTCAGAAGGCGCCTTATATCTCACAATAACACTAGACTTAGAATAGGTGTAACTAGCAACATTATTAATGGGGGCATTTCATTTAAAACTGCATTAACTGATCTCCTAAAAGATAGCTTGCTCTTTAGTTACACAGCTAGTCGCTAACTGTGCTTGTCTGCTGTTTGCAGATTGTGTACAGGGGGTTTTCAGAGGTTAATAGCTGAAAACGGCTGCCTGGTGTGACCGTAAATGCACTATAAGTGAGTTCAGAGTGAATCAAAACAGCGATGTTGAGACTGAACAGATAAACAATGACCTGAAACTCGCTTTAAAAGCTCTATAAATCCAATGAAAGCTGAACAACTGCTTATACACTTTAATTTGATACTGTGTTATTATAAAAATATCAATTAAAGCTAGGGATGCTCCGATCGATCGGCCGCCGATGCACCACATTTAATTTGAAAATGCCACTTGTTTGTCTTTCATCCCCAGCTTCCAAATGTGAGGTTTAATTTGCATCCATCGAGCAGCTCAATTTCCAACGATCAACATCTGTCTCATGCCAAAATATTCGACATTGATTAAAGAGTAGTAATTATTCCACTACAAAAGGCCTCTACAGTACACATGGGAGCACAATTGGAGCATCAGGCGGGCGTCCAAGTGTTTATTGGGGGCCGCACATCTGCAAGCACCTTGTCACTTTATGAAATGCTGATGTTGCTATTATTCTGAATGGTGGCAGTTGTTGATTACAATGTGACCACAAGAGAAAAGCAATTACTCAAAGACAGAGTAGTAATCATGCATCTATGAGAGAAAGATCAATATCCTTGTCCACAGTGGGATGCACGGTGCCCTGTACAGTCCGTATTGAAGCATGCTGTGGCCCGAGGTAACCCGAACAGGGGGGAGGTTAAAGTCATACAACTGGCTGCTTTATAGTTTCTTTGTATTAACTCAAAGATCAGTATACAATCCATACAATAATGTGTAAGCCTCTGTTGTTTACAGATAGGCTACTGTTTTTGGTTCACAGTATACAAAGCTTAAAATAACTTACAGCTGTTTTTATCTCGGTGCTGAAAATAAAAAAGAATGCCTCCAATAAACACACCCATCAGTAGCCAACATTAGCATCTGCTGTGATGCGTTCAAAGACAGCTGACCTACAAAAACTACAATATACTGCACACTTCTGTCTAAAGTTACTGCTGTCCAGTCCTCAACAACTCACACGGTCACTCACATAAGAGAAACATGAAACATATAGGTAATTATATAACTTAAAATGAATTAATAATGTTTTTGAATTGAGGAAAGAACATGAACTCTAGACAGAGATGTGAAATCTGACTCTATATCTGTAGTTCTCTCTACACAGAGGTGACTATTTAGTGTTTCAGAATACCCTGCAATCCCCTTTTGCTCTGCATCATCAGATTCAGGACATTGCATATGTTTGTGCTCAGCAGCTGTGCTTTCTCACCAAGACTTTGAAATGATAACATATAATGAAACAACGACATTTGACTCACATATTGCAAAAACATCAACTTTGAAGTTTGATTTGATTTGACAAAAGCATTCTCCTGTCAAGTAAAAATGCACAAAGGAATGCTTTGATGATGCATACAGCCACAGATAAACTGGCAACATAACTCTGGGACAACAACTCTTTATTGGCAGCTATTAAATAATTAATTGTTCTTGCTCCCACATGCTAGGCCTGGCCTTCATGTTGGCTACTGGGGATACTTTTCCCCAAACTACAAGAGGCTGGCTCCTCTAATTAAACTCGAACTTTCTGGGCAGTGCTAAGCTCCTCTGTCTGATCAGTCATTGGCTGATTAACATAATGCACACCATGCATGCAACATCTGCATTCAGTTCCCAGTTAATCAGGAACACCTAGCTAAAGCTAATACAGCCCTGCAGTGAATCCTACCTTCATCAAGGTTGTAATAGTCAGATTTTGGGAGTTTCTAATAGTCTATCCTTACTTATATCGATGGGAAGGTGACAGAGTGTAACCACAATGTGAGTTTAGTTTTTATAGTGAAACAATGCTGTATAATAAAGCAAAACATAGTCAAGCCAGCAACAATATATTGTGGTTTTATCATCTAACATTTTTGAATCTTGAATAAATGAGAATGCTACATTGCTTAATGAGAAATGTACAACATGACTGAAAGAGACATATTTCAAACTTGTAAGTCCCTAAACATAATACGAACAAAAAGCAAACCGTACTTCCGTTTCCAAAAGTGTAGTTTTAGAATTGAATCGACAGTAACAGAAGCAGCAATTATAATGTTCTTGCAATAATGTATACGACTCAACAGCGGCATGAGGAACACATCGGTGTATAAAAGCCTGCTGACTTCACCACAAGCTCATTATGGCATTAATAATTTGCACTGTTTTGCATAAGCCAGTATGTGTGCTTGCCATTAACACGTCGACAATAAAAGGTTTTATAATGAAGTTAGTCGTGACATTTTGGTCATACTTAAAGATCGGCACGTTTCTGGAGTTGTGGGTTTGATCATTTAAGAAGGAATAGATGCCCAAGATTTTTTTTGCAGGTGATTTGCAGACTACTAAGCCTCCATCGCAACGTAGCCCCTCTACACCGGCTTGGTTGACGTGTGCCTGAGCCGAGATCAAAGCAAAACAGCCTCACGACTTCCAGCGGCTACAGAGAACAACCCAACTGCCCCAAAGTCTTTAGAAAAACACCAATATGTATCCTTTGCACCAGGTTTTAATCACGCATCTTAAACACAACGTGGAGAAGTAGACACACGGTATCAAATATGCAGGAGAAAGACACAAGGGGCCATATGTCTCATCTGGCCAATTAGCTAGCCTGCTAGCCAGCAACGCTCACAACAAAATGCATTGGCTCTGAACTACACTGGCGCAACAACGTTAGCTTCAGTAGCTACTCACCACAGCAGAAGAGTCCAAATTGTCCAAAGAACTGAGTCAAGGCCGCCCGGTGGCTTTGTCAAAACCTAAATATCTCGTTGTGTTTAATTTTGCAAGACTACAGTCACCGGACAAGCCTGCGGTGTTGCTGCGTTTTCAGCTCGCTCCGCTCACAGCACCATTAAAAGCTGCATTGTTGGAGCAACGGCTGGACAAACAGCGCCGACAGCGCGCTGCAAAGCATTGTGGGAAATGGCGTTCGTTGTCCGTGTCGTTCAAACGTGGAAATATTGGGGAAATGCTCCACCCAGTGTTCAGTGTGGGTACTTACTTGCTCTCAATTTAAAATAGAAGATTATATAAAATTGTATTTTTTAAATACTACATTGGTTTGGTTATTTATCTTATTGGCTCATTGTTATTTTCTTATTCTATTGTTACATTACTTTTTACATTTCATGTTGTTTATCATCAAATGCAGTCATTGGTAAATCTTAATCCTAATATGTGTTTTGGCTTAATGATCCATCTTCTTCTTGAAAAATACCCTACGACTATTTGTTCTTATGTTTTTGTAATTTAGTCTTACACGTTACAGGGTGCTTAACAAAATATGAAACCATACTAAAAAGGGGACATTATAGGACAAAACAAATTCAAATAAAAAACGGATGTAAAATGACTTATTTTACAAAATGATTAAACATACATCTAGATGTAAATTAACATCAGCAAAAATCTGATAAAAACATAAAATAAATTCCAGTTTGCCAATCAAATTATTTATTTTTAAAAATACATTTTGTATGTTTAACTTAAATCCTGCATGCCCCACATTGTTCTTGTGTTTTTTTTACGTTTTGTCTTTTCGATTGTTATGTATTTGTTTAACTTGTTTGGGAAAATTCCATAAATAAAATAGTTTTAAAGGTGTTCATAAAGCCCTCTATGCTCTTCCTGTCCTGATTGGCTGTACGTGTAGTTCCCCTCTAGGTGGCAGCAGAGAGTCCGTTGGAGCGCAAATCGCCGCAGAAGAAGACTCTCCATAGTCGCACGGTGATGATGACACACCATCAGGAAAATGGAGAAAAAACACATGTCTGCTTTTGAATTGTACAAAACGTTGTCACCAGATTTGCCTCCTACTGCCACGAAGTCTCCCCTGCAGGTAGATATTATGAAACAAATGACATTGAGAACATTTCTGCCTGTTGCTGTAAACTGTGATAGACTCAGCGGCTGGAGGAGGGGCAGTGTGAAACTAGCACATCCTCCTGATAGCTAGTTAGCTGTTCAACCAGGTTATCTGCTAACTATCTCACCTGTGTGTATGCTATGTTATATTACGTTTTAGGTGGCAAATAAGAAGAAAAGGAAAAAGGAGAATGGGCCCAGTAAGATCAGCCCAATTAAAGCTCAAATAAAGCCTGAAAGGAAGCCTGAAAGGAAGAAAATGCGAAAGAAGTCTGCACAAAGAGAGGAGAGCCTTAAGGAAATTACAGAAGTAAGTTCTGCAAAGTACAAAGATAGATGCTATTGGGTGCTATTGTGTCATCCATGAAAATATGTTTTTACTAACAACAGTAGTATGTATTTGTATTTTTTTGACCATACTGTTCAGTTATGTTCCATTGTGTTTATGCTTGTATTGCAGGATGAGGAGTGTGTAAATGGACATGGTGAGGCTGGTGAGGCTCTGGATGCTCTGCTGGCCGATCTGGCAAAAGTGAACAACAGCAAGGAGAGAGCGAGCAAGCTGTTCCAGTGGCTCATCAACCCCATTCCTGTCAAGTCCTTCTTCAGGTACACATGAGCATTTTCACAGTGTTTATTAACTAACATACATTTTGAAAAACACGTTACATTTTCTGGGCCGCAGTAAAGCAACATTGTGGTTAAACAAACAAAGCATTGAATTTGGTTAATAATTCAAGTGTCATATTTCTTGGACCATTCACCGGCTAATATTTTTCCTGTCTCTAAAGAGAAACATGGGAGAAGAAACCCATTCTTGTTCAACGAAAGAATCCAGATTACTACAAGGGACTATTCTCCACAGCCGAGTTTGATCGCATATTAAGACAGGTAAGGGTTTCAAACGTCACCTCGTCCATCCTTACTTTATCCTTGATTTCCCTATCTTTGTTGGTACATGTGTCGCTTATGTTATCATCAAGAAACATATTTTACACACTACATAATTCTACAGAGTTATTATCAATGTATTATTCAAGGTCTTGAGGAATAAAGTTTCAATATAAAGCAACTACATAATTTAATGGGAGAAAATCTCATTTGATTGAAAACACAAAAATAGTGTTTATTAGAAGACAACAGACCTCTACTGCCCAAAGTTATTTAGTTAAATCCTGTCTTTGCTGAATGGTTAACATTTAATTTGCACTTGGCTCTTTTGAATCTGTAACTGCAGGGACTTATAATCCTCAAGTTTGATGAGGTTTACTTAAACATTTGTAAATGTATATAGAGAAAGAAACTTAATGAGAAGTAAATATTCTTATTTTTAATGGATTATTTGTATCTTTATTTGTTGGTCTTCTAGTGACAAAATACCCTGATATGTTCTTTTGCCTGTTTGCATATTGCTATTTCTATCGTTGATATCATTACAAAAATAGCAACAACCAAGTGTGAAAAGAAATCTGTGACACTAGACTACATGTCTGCGTTTTTCAATTAAAGGATGAAGTTCAGTATGGAGTGAACCTCGATGTCACGAGCTACACGAATGGCAAGAGGGAGACGCACAATCCTCCGGGGAGAGCTCTGCCCTTCACTGTGTGGGACTACTATGAGGTAAGGCCGCAGTGATGCAGGCTTTGGGGCGGCAGTGTCTCAGTCTGTAGGGACTTGGTCTTGGAACCGAAGGGTCGCCGGTCACGTCCCGATCGGACCAAAAAAAGATGGAGTGAGCTGGTAGCTGGAGAGGTGCCAGTTCACCTCCAAGGCCACTGCCGAGGGGCCCTTGAGCAAGGCACCTAACCTCGAAACTGCTCCCTTGGCGCCGGGTACCTGGCAGCCTCTCTGCTCTGCCACCTCTCCTATCTGCATGTGGTTGTGTGTGTGCATGTATATCCTCTGTGTTTGTGCATGTATATCCTCCCCTGTGTGTGTAATGTGTGTAAACACAACAGAGTGGGGAAAGAAATTTCCCTGTAAGGGATTAATAAAGTGTTTCTTCTTCTTTCTTCTTCTAAAGTGATTATTACCAATGCTACATCCCTGTGATTGAGCTTTTTTAAATTCCTTATAATTGGATCCTTTGACAGCATGTTATCTTCCCCAGTTGTCTCTCTATGGGGATCATTACAGTTTCCTCTCTCTTTGAAATATTCCACAACCACTTTCATTAAAAAGCAGTTAGAAGCATGTTTATGTATTCAGCAATATATTAATTTTTAATTTTTCTGTGCTGCAAGCAAGAAGTCATTACAGTCATACATTGCGTAAAGTGCTTTATAAAGTAAAATGTACCATATCTCCATCTCCCAGAGTGGCTGCTCCCTCCGCTTGCTGAATCCTCAGGCTTTCTCCTCCACCGTGTGGAACGTGCTCTCCACCCTCCAAGAGCAGTTTGGCAGCATGGCAGGAGCCAACGTGTGAGTATTATTTGGCAAAGTTATTATTCTGGAAACAATTTAGGACTCCTTCAGAATCTATAATGTATTTGTTCCCTTTGACCAGTTACCTGACACCACCTGGAACACAAGGCTTTGCTCCACATTACGACGACATTGAGGCGTTTGTGGTTCAGCTGGAGGGGAAGAAGCATTGGAGAGTGTACAGCCCCAGGTGAGATACAGCAAGGAACCTTTTAAAGAACAGCAGCAAGTTCATTTCACACTTTGTTTCGCTACATTAACAATGCAGAAACTGGTAGATAATTGTAACGGTTTTGAGATTGAATATCTAGTTTTATGCACCACTGATCATTTGAATTTGACAATCATGACACACTTAACCAGATTGAGTAATTGAGGGTTGATAACCTCAATGTACGTTTTTTTTTCTGGGTTGTTTTTGTAGGTCAGAAGATGAAGTCTTACCCGTGCTCTCAAGTAGTAAGTAGAACAATATTTTCATTTATTTACAAAGACATTCAGTTAACTTTTGTTCTAAGGATTAATTTAATTGTTTTTTTACTTGAGGTCGTGTTATCATACAACCTTATTTTCTAAATGTTGTATTGCTTTTAAACTGTTTTAAATAGTTCTTTATCATTGTCTGTCTGCCATATTTATTGTTGTCTTGTAAAGTCCTTTGTAGCTTTGTTTATGGCTATATACATCCATGTTGTTATTATTATCTATAGAGAAAGGCATTTGGTCTCAATTTGGTCGGAAACAATATTTGGGGATAATTATTTACTGTTGCACAAATCTTAAAATGATATTCTCAGATGTTAATCCTTTGGGTTTCCTCTTTAGCAAACTTCAATCAGGCAAACATCGGGAAGCCCATCCTGGAAGTGGTGCTAGAGGCCGGGGATCTTCTTTACTTTCCCCGGGGATTCATCCACCAGGGCGACTGCCTGCCAGATGCTCACTCGCTCCACATCACAGTCTCCTCTTTCCAGAAGAACAGCTGGGGGGATCTGCTGCACAAGGTGATACTTTCTGGTCAATGCCCTAATCACAAACCTACATAGTGAACAGAAGGCAGCATCAGTGCCAGGCTACATTAGCACGTTTATTTATAACGCAGTACAGGATTAGCATAATAACCAGAGACGGTACATATGGACATGTTTTTTTTTTAAATATGTATTTCTTTATATAATGTATACAGTAATTACGAGTAGCATTTCCCTTGATACTTGGAGGTGGAAATGGAATTCAACCTACAGCTACTTTTGTGAGAGATTTCACATTTGCTGATCTAAACACATTTATATTTTCTTAGAAGAAATGTTTGAGCAATGAATAATTTGTGTGCAGCTACATCAACATATTTTTTTAGGAATGCAGAAGAAGTGGAGCTGTTTTAGCACACGTGGTGTAACAAACCTTGAAAATAAAATATGAGAAAGATAGTTCTAATCATTTCTGGTGTACAATGTTTCTGAATTGATTCTGGATACAAGTGTTGCAGTAGGTTAACAGTGCATTTAACCACTTTAATTTAAAAAACAATAATTTTAAATATTTTTACATTTACCAAAGCTCTTTCCACTTTAAACTGCCCTCTTTTAGGTTGTCCCTGCAGCACTGGAAATAGCGATGGAGGAGGATGTGGAGTTCAGACAGGGCTTACCTCTGGATTACCTGACATACATGGGAGTACAGAACTCTGACAAAGTAATTCATCAGTCATTTTCTCATTTATTTATCACAGTCCCCATCCTTCAATTACCTCTCAATGACGCTCCTCCTCCTCCTCCTCCTCGTGTGTGTTTAGGATGACCCCCGCAGGACAAAGTTCTTCTCACGAGTTGAGCATCTGATGAAGAAGCTAACGACTTACGCCCCGGTCGATGCTGCCGTGGATCAGAAAGCCAGAGTCTTCCTGCATGACTGCCTTCCTCCCATGCTCACACCAGGTAAATGTGGCCATAAACTCACTTTCACTTTACTTAATTGCGAAGAAAATTGCACTATTGCCTTTAAGTGTTATTGATTTTTAAACTATACAGAACAGCTTGAGATAAACGCTTCTATTTGAACCCTTTCACACCATCTCTCACAGAGGAATTGGCCACCAGTGTACTGGGAGCATCTGCGAGGTGGGAGCATGGGCAGGTTATGGATGTAGGTGCAAAAATCACTGCCAAGACACGAGTCAGAGTTCTCCGTGGTGGATGTGCCAGGTAATGGAACATTTTGACGAGTATAACGGCACGTTCACACACACACACACACTATTCAGGCCTGTCTTTGACTGTATGTTGTCAGAAACACCTGATTCAGTAATCCATTAGAGCAGGAATGTAAAATAAGGCAATCTTAAAATGTAACTTTCTGTCTTCACAGATTATGCAGTGACGGAGAAGCTGTCCATCTTTACTACACAACAGAAAACTCCAGAGTTTACCACAAAGAGCAGCTCAAGAGTTTTGAAATAAAAGTAGAGGTAAGTTCATAAATGTTTTGCATGTTGTGTCCTTATGCCGGGGCCACTGCCTCATTTTTTTTTTTTTGTCTTTCTTTCAGCACACCGACGCTATTGAGTTTCTGATCCATTCATATCCCAAATTTGTGACAGTAGGGAGTTTCCCGTGTGATTCTACAGAAGACGGGGTATGTTGTGTTAAGTGCATATTATGTATGCTGATTTTGGGCCTGTTATCAACCTTTTTTTGTAAATGTGCATGTTCTTATTTAAACATCCTGATTTACAGCAATATTCTAAATAATAATGATAATAATATTTTGTGAAATAAGCAGTTTTTTGTGATTCTTTGTTATTTCACTCCCAGATCACTTTGGCTGAGCTGCTTTTTGAGAGGGGGATTATCCACACTGCAGATGCTCTGTAGTGGCCACGGATTCTTCAGTCATGCATGAAAAGATTGTCTCTGTCCAAAATATTGCCAAAACACTTCTTGTTCCATGTAGTCTTCATTGGTTCTACTGTAACGTTCAAGCTAAACAAACCATTTATTAATTGACTCTCTGTTCAGCATCAAATAAACCAGTTAAAAAAAAAATAAGAAAGAATCTCATGTGTCATCTAACCAAAGCAACAACCAGTACAAAATTATTTTCATGACAAACGTCAAGTTTATTATCGGTTGATACAACTCATATTAAAGATTATTGGGAGATCCAACTCAAAAACAGATGACATCTTAAATATGCTGATTTGAGGGACGGTCACACTGCAGGACAGGACACATTGCAGGGAGGGTGGTCTACTTCCAGGTCACCTCCTCACCAGGCTTCAGCTCCCTAAAGACACCAGAAGTAAAACAAGTTGTGTAAACTTCATATAAACATTTATTCTTTCCCTTCATCTCTAAGCATTCTGCCATCTTACTCTTTTACACATAGCATTACGTTTAAACTGGGGGGAAATGCATATTATGTAGAAAAAGCATCAACATAAAAGAAAAGGCATCTCACCCTTAATAAACTGATAAATGTGGAGGAAATGTTTTTCTTACCTGCTGTACAAAAGGCTTTTGTTCCTGAACGATGTCAGCTTCGTGTCCTGCAGTCGGTCAAGGTACCATCCGATAACAAAGCCCATAGGCACCAGGATGTTTGACCAATGCTCACGGGCTAGGGATAGAAAGTTGACCATGGTTTCTTCAGAAATAAGCAAAAGACAGACAGATTGTAACGTTAATTATGTGGGACTGATGAAATACTCTGATTTAAAAACAGGTTTGCTAACATTTACAGTAATAGAGTGACTTATCCTTTCTAAAAATAAGTTCCCCAAAATACTTAATACTAAAAAAAAAATTAAAAATCTTGTAATTGCCTTAGCTTCTATGTGGTGCAGATATGGGCAAAACAGGTGCAACAATCCGACCTGCAGCCCTACACAGAAGACTGGCACAGGACTACACTTTTGTCTTGAAGAAATTGCATCTTTATCTGAGGGCCTTCACAAAACTAGTCTGATTCTGTGTCACAAATAGAGCAGCATGAACATATTACTAAGGGGGGATTTATAAGCTTACACAAAGCCAACTACATATATTAAGCCGTGACAGATGACAACTTTTCAAAACTTTGTTTTCCAGATTTAAGGTGACCTTACTTGTGCTGACAGAAACACAACAAAAGGGGACTCGTTTTTTAAAATGACATTGTTGCTAATGTTTGTCTGAGCTAATTGGTTTGCAGGTGAGGGTGATCTCTAAATTCAATAAATTACATCTCTAGTTAATGTATATGAAACAACAGGTAGAGTAAATAATCTCAAACCACATATGATGTACTTCTTAATTTAATATATGCATTATAGCAACCCACAACATAGTTTAACTGCACACTAAAACAACTCACTGCACCACAACCACCAGCTAACTAATCAGCTAGCTAGCTAGCATTAGAAATATGTGTCAGGTTTTCGTTGAGAATGTTATTTCAGTTAAATTATGTTGTGTTTACAACAGTTAACATATCAGATTATAATAAAACCAAACAAGAAAGAGACACGATGTAGGAATATGCAGGATATTACCTTGTGTTGACGCTCGTCGTGGCCTTCAGCTCTTCTCTCACCAGGCAGAGGACATTGGACTCTTCCAACTCTGCAAAGGCGACAGTGCTACATGAGCAAAATAAATAAAATGTATTACAGTGATCACCCTGGCTGTGGATTGTAATATCAATTGTCACTCATGAATTGGAAACTTTAAAGCAAATCTATTGAATTATCTTACGATAACATGAACAAAAGGTTTATTTTCTTATACTTTTAATTTTGTTCTAACACCGCCCTACTTGGTACGGTCCTTTGCCCTTTCACACATGATGCAGCGGCAAACATGTCTGCTAATCAAGTGTGTACTGAAAACGCTAGCCAAAATGTCTTAATGTTACAATTATAGAACATTTTCTTACTTTTTCTATTTGAACGGGAGAAATTTTGCATTTCCTCGTATTAAGTGGTACGTTGCACCTTTCTCCGTCGAGCCAAGCCACTTACATCCACAAGTTTAGTGTAGCTAGCATGCTAAAAAGACATACATCGCAGGGTACTTTGTTGTCGGTGTTGCTAACTAGCTGTAGCTGGCAATCTAAATTGTGTTTACTTTTAAATTGACTCACTGCTTGATGAGCCAGCCGCATATTTGATAGACCTTACTTATGCAGCATAACACTATTGCATCGTATAGGTTCATTTATACTTGTTACGGTTTTTTTCTTCATAGATTTAAATGAATGAGTTCTCAGTCGTAAACAAAGTAATAGAGCCATAGTATTTGAGATTTAACTGCATTGTTTATTTGGGTTGTTTTGTGTTAATCATTGATCATCTATATTGTACTTTCAGAGAGACAACTAAAGAAATATGACGTCCATTATTAAGCTGACAGCAGTGTCAGGGGTGCAGGAGGAGTCTGCCCTGTGTTACCTGCTGCAGGTGGATGAGTTCCGCTTCCTCCTGGACTGTGGCTGGGATGAGACTTTCTCAATGGACATTATCGATGCTATGAAACGGTATGGTATCCCTCTTCTTATTAGATCAGTTTCCTCCTTGTTCTGCTAATTTGACGTGTATGTGATGTCCATTTTCCCTTCAGATATGTTCATCAGGTTGATGCCGTGCTCCTCTCCCACCCTGACCCCCTACACCTGGGAGCCCTGCCATACGCTGTGGGGAAACTAGGTCTAAACTGCACTATATATGCCACAATCCCCGTCTACAAGATGGGTCAGATGTTCATGTATGATCAGTTTCAGGTAAGAAAGGGATGTAGGAAATGTCATGCATGTTAAGTAATGTATTAAGAGAGCTTATTTGCATGACTAACATTTATGTTTATTCATATCTCCACTTAGTCTCGAAACAACAGTGAAGATTTCACACTGTTCACCCTGGATGATGTGGACTGTGCTTTTGATAAAATCCAGCAGCTGAAATACTCTCAGATTGTCAATCTGAAAGGTGAGTTAGTTGCAGACCCTACAAGTCAGGATCCACCCCTGTTTATGTATCAACGATAACCATATCTTGTATATCTTTATTTGTACCCAATAGGAAAAGGGCACGGTCTTTCCATCACTCCTCTTCCAGCTGGTCACATGATCGGAGGCACTATTTGGAAAATAGTGAAGGATGGAGAGGAGGAGATTATTTATGCTGTTGACTTCAACCACAAGAGAGAAATGTGAGTACACACCAAACAATGAGAAATGAAAAATTCGTTTTTAGATTGGCTATTAGTTCTTAACCTTTATAACTCTGTTTCTTTATTCTAGTCACCTGAACGGCTGCGTGTTGGACAGCATAAGTCGTCCTTCTTTGCTTATCACAGACTCCTTCAATGCTAGATATGTGCAGCCGCGTCGCAAACAGAGAGATGAGCTGCTTCTTAGTAAGTGATCTTTATGTGCCTCTATAGTAGAAATGTATCATTTAACCCTTCGCCTTACAAACATATCTAAAATGCAAGGAGTATAGACTAAATAATACACCAATTTACCAAATTATAACCTGTAGTTAAATTATTAATCTCATCTGAAAATAACTTCAGTCAATTGTTTTTTATAAAACTATTTGTATATTGTGTTAATAAGTCTGTCTCCTACAATAATTACAATCCCCCCCACTGAGAGTGTGTGATACTAAATGAGAAACAATGGGCAGTCTCAATAATTACTTGCACTCATTCACGCAGAAACAGTCAAATTAAGACTTTAGGAACAGATTCTTTTGAACAAGGATTACACTTTTGTTTTACCCTGTGTTCCTTTTGTGTTTTTATCATCCCCTCCTCCAGTTCTGTAAAATAACTTAATATAAAAGTAATGCAAAAATTTAGTTTATCTTCAAAAATAATCTCTAATTTCTTTGCACACAGCCAATGTAATGGAGACTCTTCGTGGTGACGGTAATGTCCTGATCGCCGTGGATACAGCGGGCCGTGTGTTGGAGCTGGCTCAGCTGCTGGACCAGATTTGGAGAACAAAGGATGCCGGGCTGGGAGCCTACCCTCTCGCTCTGCTCAACAACGTCAGCTATAATGTGGTGGAGTTCTCCAAGTCCCAGGTACCACTGGTTTTCACACTTGATACAGTTTCATCCCACAGGCCATAAGACTGTTAAACATCTGAACTTTTGAAAGAACATCCATAACATTCATCTGTTTGCAACTTATATATATATCAATATTCCTATTACTTGTATATAGACTATTCTGCACTATTTCTATTATATTCTATTTTATTTTATTATCTGTTTTATTGTGTTGCACTGTTGGAGGAGCCTGTGACCTAAGATTCCCATTGTCATAACTACACTGTTGCTATGTACAAATGACAATTAAAGCCTTGAATCTTGAGATGATATCATACTCTTCTTCTCCTGCCTTGTTAATTAACCATGAACATTCTTAAGATTCAGAATCACTTTATAAGTATATAATAACATTCATGTTTTCTTCCTGTAGGTGGAGTGGATGAGTGACAAACTCATGAGGTGTTTTGAAGACAAGAGAAACAACCCCTTCCAGTTCCGTCACCTGACGCTGTGCCACAGTCTGGCAGACCTGGCCCGGGTGCCCAGCCCTAAGGTGGTGCTTTGCAGCCAGCCTGACCTCGAGGCCGGCTTCTCCAGAGAACTCTTCATCCAGTGGTGCCAAGACGCCAAAAACTCTGTCATCCTGACCTACCGCACCACACCTGGAACCCTGGCCCGCTACCTCATCGACAACCCCGGAGAGAAGATGCTGGATCTGGAGGTGAGAGCGGCAGTCACGATGATAACTCACTGTGTTTATCTCTGATTGCAGCCCCATGGGGAAGAGCCTGTCTGTCACATTCAGACTCATAACTCTGTCATTTACTCCATGCTTCATTCTTCTCATCATCACAGGTGAGGAAAAGAGTGAAGCTCGAAGGCAAGGAACTGGAAGAATTCCTCGAAAAGGACAAAGTAAAGAAAGAAGCAGCTAAAAAACTTGAACAAGCTAAAGAGTAAGTCGAAACAGAAATGTCTCTGATTGGTGAAGTTGTATGCCTGTTTGATTCATACTATTTTATTCTCTTTTAACAGCTTAAAAGGAAAATATGTAAAAAGCCAATAGATATGCAAATAGTGCTCTGGGATGAACATTTAAAACAGGCTATTTAAATGGTAATCTTAAAATGGACACTTGACAACATGTATACTCGGCAACTGTAGAAAAATGTGTTTAGAAAACTATGCATATGTACACAGTTAATGTTTATTCTAATGCACTTTGCAGGGTGGATGTAGACTCGAGTGACGAGAGTGATATGGACGATGATCTGGATCAGCCAGTTGTGTTGAAGACGAAACATCACGACCTGATGATGAAGAGCGAGGGCAGCCGCAAAGGCAGCTTCTTCAAACAAGCCAAAAAGTCTTATCCGATGTTCCCCACACACGAGGAGAGAATCAAATGGGACGAGTATGGGGAGATTATCAGGTACTGCAACAGTGATACACATGAACATCAGATCACAGGAAGATGGACTAAGAATGTAAAGACTATTTGATGCCTTTGTTAATAAGCCAGACTTGTTTTTTTTCACAGGCTAGAAGATTTTCTGGTTCCTGAGCTGCAAGCAACAGAGGAGGAGAAAAACAAACTGGATTCGGGGATGACCAACGGAGACGAGCCCATGGACCAAGATCTCTCTATTGTTCCCACCAAATGTGTCTCCAGCATAGAAAATCTTGAAATTAGGTCAGTGATTCCTTAAAGGGGCCCGAACATCAAAAGTCAAAGTCAGCTTTATTGTCAATAATTCTACATGTTGTACATCCAGAAATATCGCTTCCCGCTAGGGCTGTGCGATTATGGCAAAAATCATAATCACGATTATTTTGGTCAATAATTGATATCACGATTATTAAAAACGATTATCCATTTACTTTGAAAACATCCATATATTGAAAAAAAAAATTGGAACAGTATGTTTTTAACAGTTGATTACCCTGAACTTTAAGTATAATTCAGCAGAAAAACCAATAATTTTATTTTTTAAATTACTTTTTTTCTTTTTTAATTAAAATAATAATCGTTTTATTTCGATTACATTCTTTTCGTAATCGTTGCAAGCCAAAATCGTAATCGAGATTAAAATACGATTAATTGCACAGCCCTACTTCCCGCAGTCCTACAGTGTGACATATATACATCAAACAAAAAACAAAAAGGGCCTATATAAACATGGTATACATTAAACAAAACAAAGGGCCTAGATAACCGGGGTATACAGTTTAAAATGTATAAAATGTTAATAATATAATTTAAGTGTTCAAAGCACATTTTCCGGTTCAAATGTCTATGTTGTGCCTCTCCTGTGACATATTTCCATGCTTTAATGTTCAAAAAGGTCTTTATTTTTCTCATACTGCCTGTGCTGCAGCACCTCTTTTCACCCTCTGTCTGAAACCATGGCCAAACAATTTGTTGGGGTGCTAGCCAATAGTAGCACGAGTGTTACGGAGTGAGTCACTATATTACGAAAGTCAACAAAGGTGTCCAATTCAGGCGTTTGAGGCAAGGGGGATTGTGATGGAGGGACACTTTGGGATTGTAGCCTTTGCAGACAATTGAAATGCAGGAAATGGAAAACCTCCAAAAGTATAACTTGGCCCCTTTTTTAAAATCTGTCTTCCTCTGTGAAAAGAACTCCACAGACTTAAGTTCTAAATAAGTCTTGCCTCCCTTTTGTACTGCAACTAGTGCTGATCATCTGCCAACAGTTCAGTGCCGGGGGGTGCTGGACGGCCTCCAGGTGTGAATATTTGAATTTAAGGCTAATTATTGTTTGAAAAAAAGCTTATGTCTACTCGGCAAACGTCTCCTGGATAAATGACAAATGCTCTCAGGCAGTCTTGTCTGTGCTCGTGTTCGACAATGTTTGACAATTATGAAAGAGCTTTATCCTGTCTTCAATCTTCCGCAGAGCGAGGATATCGTACATAGACTACGAAGGTCGCTCTGATGGCGACTCCATCAAGAAGATTATTAATCAGATGAAGCCCAGACAGCTGGTGATCGTTCGCGGGTCGCCGGAGGCCAGCCTCGACCTGGCAGAGTCCTGCAAAGCTTTCAGCAAGGACATCAAAGTGTACACGCCCAAACTGCAGGAGACCATCGACGCCACGAGCGAAACACACATCTACCAGGTCAGCCTCAGAATGCTTCTCTCTGTTTGGAGACTGAATTATTGTAGGGAAATGTTGTCCTTTAAATGTGTTTAAAATATTCATAAAGCTTCTGTAGGGCTGAATGTTCTAAATGTAATAACGAAAGGAAATATTAGTTTATGAAACAAAAAACCTCTAACTATATAAGAAAGAAAAAAAAAATCTTTCATGGGCTTATAAAGATTCAGGGAGTTTCTCATTTACCTTTTTCATCCCTCTGCATCCATACAGTCCCTCATATAATAATAATGAACTAAGGGCGCCCCCTCATGGTCAAAATAGAACACTATCACATTACATAAGAAATATATATCACATGCATCACAAAGCTGTACACATTACAAACAGCACAGCTAACATTAATTAGACGGCATGATCAAACATCAACGTTAACAGCCCTATTCTGCTTGGAGAAAGTCAATCCTGATCAATCTGATAATGTTAGTTGCAATTTACAACCCCATGGCAATAGAGCTTAGAGCAGCGGTTTTCAAAGTGTGAGGCGCGCCTCCCCCGGGGGGCACCAGAGAGCTTCAGGAGAGGCGCAGCGTGAGAAAAAAATAACGAGAAACAGTGAAATCTAGCTAGTTAAAGGTGGGGTAGGTAATTTTGGAGAAACCAGCTCGAGTGCGCTAGAATTTGAAAATACACAGCCAGAAAAAATCAGCCACTTCCTTACAGAGCCCCTCCTCCAACACACACGAACGCGCACATGACCAATGAGGGCACGAGATAAGTCTGTGCACAGATGGAAGGCTGACAGGCAGGTAGGCCATCCAGTTACTTTAGCCGGGCCGGCTAAAATGATTGGTCGTGCTTTTTACAGTACGACGCCTTCCACAGATTACATTTTTTTATGGATTTTTTGTCAAAGCACTTAAGATATTCATTGCTATCGGGATGTTAAGAGCATTCCATGGAATATAACAAAAAGTGTATCTCGAGCCGGTTTCTCAAACTTACCTACCCTACCTTTAACTTCAGCTAACTTTATGCGAGCGGCAACATGGATCGATTTTTTGTGAAGTTACTTAAAGTGAGAGAGGAGACAGCGTCTGGCAGAAAACGGAGGAAGTATGACCACGATTATTTGAAGCTAGGATTTTCATGGACCGGTCCTGGCAGGGGCGGACTGGTCATCTGTGTGTTCTGGAGAATCACAGAACGGCCGGTCGTCAGCGGGTCATTGACGGCCGGCTCGGTTCACTGACGGCCGTCACCGCCTTTTATTTTAATTTGAATAATACTTACTTTGATCAAAAGCAAGTACCGGTCAAGGCTGCAGCCAGAGGATGATCTGCGTTTACTCCTGTCTACATTGCATCCCCGCATCATCCGCCTGTGCGCATCAAAGACGCAGACTCATTGTTCCCACTAAAGTAGGGGTGAGTGTATTAAGGAGGCAAAGTTGACGTTCAGTGTGTTGCCGGGAGCATATAAGGATTTATCTACGATGTTGAAAATGTTTAAAAAATGTTTAAAAGATAAAAAGGTTTTAAAAAGTTGTTGTTTAATGTTTTAAGGAGGTGACGCTACTCAGCCAATCAAATCGGTGCAGTCAGTGAGCACGATAGATTCAAACACACAGAGACGAGACAAGAAGAGAGAAACACTCGGAGTAACTTCAAATGGCGTGCTCAAAAAAGAGAAAGCCAGAAAACAGAACATTTAATGACATTTTCTCTTACTGGACCTCTTTGAAATGCAATTATAGCAACAGCAACAATAATAAAAATAATAGCAATGATAATTGGGAGGGGGGGCGCGGCTGTTCTTATGTTCTCTGAGGGGAGGCTCACCTTCCCACACTTTGAAAACCCCTGGCTTAGAGGATAACTGCTCCAAGGTTGATTTTTTAATGAAAGAATAAAAGCATCCTCCTGTGACAGGCTGGTGTCTTCATCTTGTCTTCATCTTGTCTTCATCTAGTCTCATCTAGTCTCATCTAGTCTCATCTTGTCTCATCTTGTCTCATCTTATTGTCACGGTACAGGTTCGATTGAAAGACTCCCTGGTGAGCTCGCTGCAGTTCTGCAAGGCCAAAGACACGGAGCTGGCCTGGATCGATGGCGTGCTGGACATGCGCGTGGTGAAGGTGGACACGGGCGTGATGCTGGAGGAGGGAGTGAAGGAGGAGACGGAGGAGGGCGAGATGCCCATGGAGGTCGCTCCTGAACTGGATATCGACCAAAACGCGACGGCGGTGGCAGCCCAGCGCGCCATGAAGAGTCTGTTCGGAGAGGACGAGAAGGAGGTGTCCGAGGAGAGCGACGTCATCCCCACGCTGGAGCCGCTGCCTTCCAATGAGGTAAGGCGGGAACACGAGCAAATGTGTTGCAATGATCTGTTATTATTTCTGAATATGAATTTAGGGGTTTTGGAAAATGTTAGTGTCATTTATTTTAAATAAGTATTTGGGTTTCCACTGAAGTGTTAACAATTCGAAAAGTTTTAACAAAGACAAGATGCAATATTTAGCAAGATCAGTGGCACTTAATTTTGATAAGCAGATTTATTTGAATACATGTTACATACAAGGATTTTCAGTATGCATTTGACCCCAATTCACTCACAAACAAGCTATTCGTGAGGCTTTGAATAAACACAATTAGTATTTAGTTTTGCATGGTCCCATTAATTCAATATTTATGTATATATTTATATATTTTTTCCAATTAATTTCATGACATGAACTGAAAGATCTTGGTAAATTTGGATGGAAAAAACCACATACTCAATCTCCCTGATTTAAAAGAAGAAAAAAAAGAAAACCAGAACCTATAAATATGCAAATATAAAGAATACAAGCTGGCCACAAGCTGTCTCCCACTGAAGTACATTCTCCGTAATTGCTGTCTGAAATCATCACCCGAAGACGTTAAACTGAGATTTAAGGGTGAGATCAGAGAAATGTTTTCACGAAAGTCAAACATGTAAATGAAGCAACAATGACCAAACGGGTAACTTCATTTAAAGTCTTTGCATTAATGCGAATTACTGATGGCTATAAAATAGCACAAGCAGCAGATGACTTCTAGCTGTCCTGCAGCTAGTGGACACACACCGTTATTTATAAGTCCTAAAACGGCATGTTGTCTGGCCAGAGGAAAAAAAGACCGTTTTCTCAAGGTGAGTGGTACAGATCACCGTGAGCCTGATTGAGAAGGCGTTGTTACACCATTCCACCAGTGTGTGTCCACAAGGTTGTATAAGCACTTGAGACAGGCCTCAGTGTGATTGGCTCTCTTCCGCTCTCCCTGCAGATGCCAGGCCATCAGTCGGTGTTCATCAACGAGCCTCGCCTGTCAGACTTCAAGCAGGTCCTGCTGAGAGAGGGCATCCAGGCCGAGTTCGTGGGAGGAGTGCTGGTCTGCAACAACATGGTGGCCGTCCGCAGGGTGAGTTGTCCTTCCCACTGGCTGAGAGTGTGCTGTCCGTCAGGTCGCTGCAACACGAGTCCCCGCTAACAACGTACAGCGAGCAGCGCAGAACACATAGGACACAGGCTTGTTTTACGCCTAAAAAACACACACTGAAAATTCAAGATTCAAGGCTTTTATTGTCATTCGTACATAGTCTAGTTATGTCGATGAAAATCTTAGGTCCCAGGCTCCTCCAACAGAGCAACACAATAAAACAGATCAAATAGTGCAAGTAAATACAATAAAATAGAATAGAAGTAGTGCCATAAGAGTCTATATACAAGTGATACATAATGTGTAAGTTGCAAACAGGTGAATGTTATGGATGTTCTTAGTTCAGGTTGACTTTTATTCCAAATGTATTCATATTTATGAGTCCATGTGCAAGGAAGGTGCATAGTTAATATATAGCCACCGTTTTAATGAAATTAGAAGCAGGTAGAATTTAAGGACCTGTACAATACATTTAAAAAAATTAAGTATCTCATTAATTTAAAGAATTCTAACAATTCTTTTGCTAGAAATCCCTTCCCATGTCTTGTCTGTAACCCTCCAGAAACTTCTATTGTATGTATATCATTTATTAATGCAACAAATATCTAATTTATCTTGAAATGTATGAGGTATTTATTGCCCTAAATATTGTTGACTGAGCCGTCAGAAGGACAAATGCATAACCAGAAATGTTCCCCATTAGACATGCTATTATGTTGTGAAGCGGTAAGAACCTTACTTTATTCGATGGTGGATTGTCGCAGCACTCGGTGCAAGTTGTTTAAGATTGTGTAGGAAATACAGCAGCTTAGGTTTAGATTCTAGAAAAACACGGGCAGAAATATTGTATAGTACAAATTAGGGCTGTGCGATTATGGCAAAAATCATAATCACGATTATTTTGGTCAATAATTGATATCACGATTATTGACTTTGAAAACATCCATTTATTGAACTTTTAAACAAATACAAATAATAATTTGAACAGTATCTTTTTAACTGTTGATTACCCTGAACGTATAATTCAACTGAAAAACCAATACAAAAATAAATTAAATAAATGATACATTTAAATAAATAATATCAAAATAATAAATACCAATAAACAAGATCAACAAATATTTTGGAGCGCACTTCAATAAGCTACTAAACATATATAAATATGATAAATACAAATACATTTGAAGTGCACTGTCACAACCTAGCAAAGCAAAATAATAGTTTTTTTCGATTATGTTGTTTTCGTAATTGTGGCAGGCCAAAATCTTAATTGTGATTAAAATACGATTAATTGCACAGCCCTAGTACAAATGTATTTCTAGTATACTGTAGGTACAGTAGATTAAGGCTGATCAGTATTTAACAACACATTCATATAATATAACATTACAAATAATCTATCTGGCCCTGGGGTTAATAGTGTCTTAGTTCTGTGTTAGGCTGAATATGAAAAAGTGTGGTTGTTGATGGTTTATAGGCTAAGGTTTATTTACTTGCACATTCTACAATACAATACCAGTGCTTAACACAAAAAAGGAACATTAAACACAAAGGGAAACTAATAGAGCCCGCCTAAATAGGATTTCCTTTTTTTTTTTTATACCCAGTGGCATAACAAAACATCTCAGCTCAGAAGAAAGGCACGTAAAAATAATCACAGGCAGAACTTAACAACTAAAGGAAAAGTAGGGGGGAGCCAGGGTACCACCAGCAAAATGCATAATTGACAAGAACTTAAAAATAAACCCAGAACTCGCAACCCAGAAAATGAGATCAAAGCGAGCTGAGGCTTTTAACGGAGTGTGTGCTCGTGTGTGTGTTTTTTAAACGGGAACACTTGAAGTGGTACGCTTCATTACACATTTAAGTCTGTGAACAGCGTGTGGGAATGATTTGGAAGCGTATTTATTTCAGAGGTCAGGGCTTGTATCTGATATGTTAAAATGTGGAACCATGTTGTAGGAAATGTTAATGAATGGACCCGTGTGACCTGTGCATCTTTGTCCAGACGGAGGCCGGGCGCATCGGGCTGGAAGGATGCCTGTGTGACGACTACTATAAGATCCGGGAGCTGCTGTATCAGCAGTACGCCGTGGTATAGCAGCAGCAGCAGCAGGAGGAAGAGGAAGAGGAGGAGGACACGCAGCAGAAGAGCAAACCACGGCAGTACAGAGACAATCCTTTACGAGGACTTTACCCAGAGGAGCAGAGTGTACCACACTCCCTCTGCCTTATGGGGCGGCTCCAGCTGTTTCACTGCAAACCCTGTTGTATATTTTCCCTTTTATAATTTTTCTTTTTTCTAGATAATGTTTCTTCTTTTTTTTTTTATTGTTAGTTTACCTCTATGAATTGAGGCAGATGCTGTCCCTGGACTGACCTCTTTGTAATCAACTCCTCCCTCTGTACAGTCCTGATGCACTGGATGGGGAAAATGGTGTTTCCCCCCATCCCGTTGTCATTAAAACAGATTTTTTTTTTCAAATACGCATCACGGTTAAAGGTTTGTCCCAGATTTCTCTTAACTACTTTTAATACTTTTTGAGTAAAGTGGGGCATCAAGAATCTAAATGTGGCGTCACATTGTGTGCACAATTCTTAAGCTTTGTAAAAAAATGACTCTCTCACACATTCACTGCTCCATATACTGTTTAATAGATGTATTAGTTTGCCTCATACTGAGCATTGACAGGTGTTTTGTCGTCTCAATTTCCCCACTAATCAGTAAAATTGTTATCATGCCATTTACAATACTTTCTTTTTTCCTTTGGTTCAATTGATGTGGATATATTTACACTAGAATTGGACTTCAAGTTAAATGACAGAAGAGATATATAAACCTATACCCTATACTAAAATATAATTTCAATTCCCATACAAACACTGAATGTTTTCTAAATGCAGCGCTTGTGTTATCACGTTGGTGAAGACGTAACTCCATTTGCATCTGTTTTGGCACATTTGTTTTTTTATTTGCATTGGTCTTTTTTAAACTGCAGTGAGTTTCTCCTAATGGGAATGTTTGGGGCAGGTTTGCACCCGTCGTCCACCATACACACATCCAGATAGGACACACTGGACTAACCCCCATGAAGTAATTAGTCCTTGTGCGTAAAATAGCCGTGAATATTCCTTAAACTAATTGTGAAGTTTTACTGCTGAAGCTACCAAAATGATCCCCAGCTCTATTCATATTTGATGGGTTTTACACAACATTTACTGCCTACTAGGTCACCTAGTTCCTGCAGTAACACCAGATGGAGACATTTTGCAGCTGCTTCTAACCGGCCTCTGAATACCCATATCAAATCTGCCCATGCAGCAGGACCATCTGTAATACAGCGGTGAGATGACATTGTCCCTGAAGTGATAACTGGGATTGAATATAACTCAGCATGCAATCTAGTGAGCAAGGATTACTGCCCCTCTCTTTTTATTGCAGGCAACATTTCTCTTGCAGCAAAAACACATTTTATTTTTTAATATACCTCCCTGGCTGTTGGTGACAGGGCAAAAAGAAAAATGAAATGGTTCAGCAGTTTGTTTTCTTATCTTTCTCAGGCACACATGGATATACAGCATCACCTCTGCTGTGCTCCAGTGAGGTCTAACCGCTGTATTGGGGGAGGCGGGTGATAAGAGGGGACGAAGCGAGGGTGGGGGGACAGGCAGGGTGTCATTGGCGGAGAGATGTGTCCGCTGCAGCCGCGTTGTGGCACATTGACTCGCTTGATTACGTTTTGCATTGCTGTGTGAATCCCCAGAGGTAGATCCTTAACACAGGCAGCTGCGGATTCCCACTTTTATGGATACACCAAAACATATCCCCCCACAACTCCTCTTCATCATCCCACACTCTCTAGCATCACACGTGCATCATAGGTGGAGACTCCTCCCTCACTGATTGGCTGTTGAGCAATCACAGGGGGGCACACACACACAAGTAGGACAGTGGAAGTGTGTGTGTGCACGGTTGGAGGAGTTAGGCTCGAGCACGGATGACTGGCTGACGTGCGAGCCAGTTTTTTTTTTTACACTGTTGCATAACATACAGTTTTGCACTTTAGAAACATTACAATTTTTAAATGCTCTTTTTTAATCCGTGGCTCACACACACAGAAAACTTTCATGTTGCATCAATGGTGCCTTTTATTTATTTCTGCCCCTCCCTCCCCTGAGCTTCCCTAACCTGTGACAGGCAGAGTGAGAGATGGAGTGGAGATGAGGATGCCACAGAGAGCATGCCAGCCCTGCCCAGTCACTGCTTTTCATTTTGATAATTGACCGATAACGCCAGAAATGTCCATCAGCTAATCCTCTTAGCTTTCATAATGCTGACTCTGTCACAGAAGCCCCTGTTTTAATGTAACGAGCAGCTAAGCCCAGAGCACAGGGCATACTCTCCCCCCACCCCCCGAGGCCGCTCTGCCCCCTGGAGGCCGGACAGAGATCTGCTCTCAACTCAACAAGTGCCCTGCCAATCTGTCCAATCTATAAATCCATCACCCCCCCCCCCCCCCCCTCCTCCTCCTCTGCCTTTCACAACATACACATTGGCACAAAGCTGCGCTCAAAGAAAGGAGCATCTTCCTGACCGCTGTGCATCCATTCATCTGCGTAAAGGGAGGATGAATGAATGTAATCCCCTTTGAATTCCCGGTCTACTCACTAAGCAGACCACTTAATGCCAATGGCATCAATGTAATAATGTGAAAGGGGGACACATTCCCATGAAACCTGATAATATTCAAACATAGCATAAGGCACCACAATCCCATGATACCCTGCTCTAAAAGTTGAACTTGTCACTCGGCCCAAATGGACGGTCACATTTCAGTTTCTGGAGCTTTATTACGGTTGTATCACCAGCTCAGGCACAGCTTTTGAAATGAATATGAAGCCATTTTTTTTGACAGAACTCTAGATATTTTGTAGAGTCATGCCTCCATGACTTTACCATTGTCATGCTTTCATATCACCCTCTGATGTAAAAGACGGAACCAAAGCTTAAATAATTATCTAGACATTCGAAAAATAGGCATACAAAGAGAATTTCGACAATTATTCCAGCCCCCTTTTTTGAGCCTGACATATCTGTAATTTCTGACAGCCCAAATCTCTCCCACTCAGTAAACTGTACAATGAAACTGTCACAAAAACGTACACGGTTGCAAATCCACCATTGTTGCCATTTCCATTTTAATATGTCATTATTTCTCCAAGAATCGGTTTGTGTTGAGTTGCCTTTTGAAACAAAATGAAGAACCTAAGAGTAGCTTTAGAAGGTTCTTGGATGCTGTTCATTGTCCTTCGTGCTTCTAGTCTTTTCATTTCCTTTCCACACATCTTAATTCCTCTCTAGGCCCTTTTCGCTTTTCCCCCCCGCCTCTTCCCTAATTCCTGCCTCTGAAAGTAATCCCCATGTGCCAGCATCTTCCTGTGGTAATGGTCCTTCAGTGGAGGAACCACTCTTACCCACCCTCTCTTTAAGACACGCATAGAAGGGCTGTGTTGAGCAGGAATCCTGAATTACAACATTACGGAGGTGATCCTCTTATGCAACCTGCTCTTCACACCCATCCACAAAGCGGGGATGCTCACGAGTACAAATCCACGAAGGCACTTGCTGCCAGATTATCCGCAATCCACAATACTGCAGCTGCCATGTTTCCCTTTTGATGAAACAATGCGTTTTGTTGGGTGCATTCAGGGGACTCTCGCTTGTCTGGCTGTCTGGCACAGACATTTTGATGACTTAGTGATCATGTGTATGTGACTGGATATTTAGGACAGATCACATGAGATTGTTTTGCTTGGCTTGTGTACAAACAGTGCATTCTTCTCCTCCCAGAGCAGAAACAAACCTGACCGGTTGGTTGTCCGTAACTTGAGGCGATGAGGGCAATAGGATCAGGAGACACGTTCTTGGATGAGGGCAGTATCAGCCTCTTAGCAAACTGCACTCAGGCTGACATGTGGTTGCAGCCAGTCAGCAGAAAGCATCCTGCGTGGCCTGCTCTTTCCGCTCGGCACATCAGAGGCACCCGGCCTTATCTGATGTGACATGGCGGACACCACCTTGAGAGCTATGAGGAGACCCTGCCGATGATTAATTCAAGCTCAGAAAACACGAAGGGGATCGGCTCTCCGTGTTTACCCCTGCAGACGTCTCTCCTAAACTGAGGATGACTCTCTGGCATGACACACGGGCGTGTAATAAGGCTGAATCATCCGCAGCGAAATGATGTCGATGTGAGAACGAGAAGAGGCCAGGAGTGTGAATCCAGAGGAGTGACTCTGCACTACAACTGTTTGTCTTCGTGCAGCTCAGTTTACATGCCAGCACTCTGAGCAGTGAGCTGCAGACCTCGGTTAAAAGTCCAAATGAAATCTGCTTGCTTCAACTTGAGGTGCAATACAGGTGAGCAAGCAGCATCTGGGAAAGATAGATAATGTCCAATCACAGGCAACTGATTTTTCCTTTCCTTGCTTTTTGTCACTCACATTCTCTTTGAGGCAGATTCTTGCTGAAAACAGATTTGGACAATAACCACAATTTAGGATTTTTGGTTAGAAAAAATCCCTCTGTAGGAAGCTTTGGGATTTTGCCTTTACAGAACATTCACCAAAACCCTGAAAAAGCATAATACGGCCTCTTTAAAAAAACCTTTTCACAGGAGAAATGATCCAGCTGTTTTTACTATCTTTATGATGAGCTCCCCTGAATGTTAAAAATGGTTGGAGTGCCACTTTAAAAAAAAAACATTTCTGCTAACTTTTCCATCAAAAAAGCACGTTCCAGTCCTCGTGCCTGCTTATGAATAATAAGACTGTATGACATTAACAACTCCTACTCACCCTCCCACCACACAGTGCCTATAACTTGTGTGTCCAGTATGGAGGTGTGTGGGGTGATGAAATCACACAGCAGGGAAATCACACAGCAGGGAAATCTACTGGCTCAGTACGTCCTCAGCCCTAGCTCCTCCAAGTGAATGAAGTAGAGGAACCGCTTACCCTCTGTTTCAGACTCCTGGCTCCTGCCTTATATTAGACTTTGTATCCTGCGACTCTGATGCTATCTTCCCAGGATGAATGGGCTGCATGTTTCTGCTGGCATACCCTCCGTGGTCAGACTGAATTGGACTCTTTGCTGCTATTTGCAAGGGGGAAAGATGGCTGTTTGCCTGCATAACCTTCCTTTTGTGCCCTGCAGACAAAAGAATAATGATGTTATTTATGTGCAGCTCATTACAAAAGGCCAAGTCTCTCTCAGATATAGTCTTTTTCCTCTAGCCACTAAAACCTTCAACCAATTTCACACAGTCCTGATGCTCACGCTACAATGAATACACATTTAAAAAGTTGAATGGATCTGTTTGGTGCAGAGGATGAGGGAGGTGTTTAGATAGGTGCACTGCAGTTTGTAGGAAAATAATAAAAAACGGTTTGGTGTAGCTGTGAAAAGAGTTTGACACCAGAATATT